ACAAAAAAATATTCTTCCTCCCATTCTGGGTGGAAGTGGTATGTCTTTAGCTTCTTGCTCGGTCCCGCACTCATTATTTTGTTGTTTGTCTCTTTAACTCAATTTGAGTTTTCCCGGCACTTGACTGATTTTGTATCACTTTGCATTCTGGGTTAACAGACTGGAAAGCGATAGGTTGCTTTTTATGTCAATCAAGTAAACTCCTGAATTAAGTGGCAGGGAGGCCAAGGGAGGAGGGATCAAAACCTGTTTTGTCTATTTTAACGAATGAATGACTCGCGATCTACCAGCATTGCCCCCGCGGTCGACCGGTCGACCGCGGTCGACGTACTGGGCACCTCTGGTGTAGTGGATCAGAAATGTGAAAGCAGGATAAATCTGAGACTGACCCGTCGGCATTCCTGCCTTCCAGCAGGGAAGCAGCGGCTGCCAGCTTCTTCCGCTTCTCCTCCTGCTTCACCTTCTTTTCCTGAGCCTAAAACAAAAACACACGCCATGACGTCAGGGCTCTCTCCGTCAGATCCAACATACAGGATTATTCTTTTTGGATAGGTTTGAGTGGGGTTAGAAAATAGTGGGCATACTTTGGCTTCTCTGCGTTTCTCCTCCTCTTCTTCTTTTTTGGGGACAAGGCTTCCATCGGCACCACTGTTTGTCTCCATGCTCTGGTCCTCTGGACTGCCCTTCTGTTCTGCCTCAGTCTTCACCTCTGCCTCAGTCTTCACCTCTGCAGCCATGTCGGACTCCTTTAAATCTGCATCAGAGAAAAGTCACACAATCTTAGTCCGTGTGGAGTTTATCAGTAAAACATGAGGATAAAACTATGATGCAAAACGCAGCATTTGTGAACTTGTACCAGGGAAATATTTATTTCTCTTTTGCATGGACTAGCAGTACTCGAGAACATATCTTTCAATAATTAACAAGGCAGGCTGTACCGGCGCTAGGATCTTTGGCAGTGGTGTCCAGAGTTCCTGCTATCAGAGCATTGAGATGGCAGATGGGAAACTCATGCAGCGTATCGTGAAAATGTGCAGGGAAGCCAAAGCTCTCCACACCCGCACGAACGGGCCCACCTCCTGGGTACATTTGGATCACTGAGCCGAAGCCTGCATGAGGAGGAAAGAGTGGCTGATTATACAAAAAGGGGACGGAATGGAAAAAAAAGAAATCGCTCATCATTTCAATGCCACAGAAAATGTCTCAGGACTGACGTACCTCCCATTCTCTCCATGACGGATCCCAGCACGAGGCCAGCACAAGTTTCAAACACCAGGACTTTACTGTTGGCGTGGATGTTTGCCAGAGTCAACATCTGGGCCAGGGTGTCATAGCGCAAGTGGCTGCATCACAGGAAAACACACACATGATATATTCACCTGTCTCTGCTGTGAAAAACATTCACACATGCTGTTATTCCACATGCTGACTCACCAGATCTTCCCTGGTTCCCGGCCGTGGTACATCATGGCCAGGATGCGACAGGAAGGTTTAAGAATTGTCACAATATTTTCATACCTGGAAAAGCACAGGAGTTTGAACAACTGATAAAACTAATTACTGCAACCTAATTCATTTGAAAGTCTAAGGACAATTGTCGATGCATCATCAGTAGTGACTCACTTCTTCTTTTTCTTCTTGATGTACTTATCCTGGGCGTATTCAGTCTTATCTTTGAATGTCGAGCTGTTGTCTATGAGCTGCTGAATGATTTCCTGTGGAGCACATACACATATTGTCTCTATTCTCTCGTCTGTTAAACTTCAACATTTTATCTCATAATTTAAAAGATAATTTTCCCATGACAAGGCAAAAACACGAATGCATCGGCCCATCTCTAAATCATTTCCCTCTTCCCTGTTCCGCCTGTAGCACAAAGTCTTAAATTATCAACAGTGGGTCACAAATAATTAACATTCTCTTTAATTAAAAAGGTTGAGTTATTGAGTTATTTCTTGAAATAGCTGAGCACTGAAGATAAATCAAACTTAATGGTGCAATTGTTTGGACTATTCTCTGCTGCGTATTAAAACACAAAGTCTCTATAATGAGCAGTGTACGGCTATTCCATTAATTTAATTACGGTGTTAATTTTCATCATAATAAAAGACCATGCCCTTAACACTCACTTATGTTTACCTAATCGTTTTTGTTCAATCAATTGATTTACAATACTTATACGCATGCTCCATTTATGTTTTTTTCATGAAATTCGATGACAATAAAAAGTAAATTAAACGTTGAGGACATACAATTTAAACAACTGACCAAACACCTGTCAGTATAGTCACACTTTTCCATGTATGTCTGTAATTGCAATACTCTTTATGTACCTGTCCCTTCAGACCTTGCTCTTTGAGCGTCTCGATGTCATCCCTGGTCAGCTTCTGGGATTTTCCATCATCTTGAATGTTCCTGTTGTCTGTGCCTGCCCCCTTTGTATCTGAGGATGGTCACATAAAAGGAGATCACTCAAATAGTATTTTACAAGTTCATGCATACAGACTGGGAATACAATATATTAATCACAAATAATGATGCCCTGAAGACATTAAAAGTGGCAGTTGTATGGCTCAATCATGGCAGTGACTGTTGTTGTGTTTCCCAGCAGGTTACACACCGGTAGAGCTCTCTGGGTCCTTGGGCTTCCTTGGCTGCAGGATCCCTCCGGATGCCAGCTCAAATGTAGTGCTGTACAACTGTCCCACAGCATTATCCAAGAAGAACCACTGCTTCTCAAAAATCACCTTCCTGTGAGTAGATCAAACAGACAAAAACAACACAAATCAACAGAAGGACATCTTTGCAGCATCCATCACACAGATGTTGCTATATATCACTTCAGATCTGTCCTTTAGCTAGCCCCAGTTTGTTCTTTTGATTACGATAAAATGACAAGAGCCATATATTTGGGGCTTGTCTTTCCAGTAATAACAGCTTTGTACTTACTTCTTCGTTTGAATTTGCACAGCTTTGAAGACATCTCCTCGTTTCAATACAACGTAGTCCCCCTCTTTAATTGTGTACAGAGAGTCATCGTCTACGTTGTCCCCCATAATAAAGCCGGTTAAACCAGCTCGTCACTCAGCTAAGAAGTAACCGTCACCTTCAGAGAATAATACGGAATAGCCCTGACAAGGCACGGTTCAATAAGGCACTAAACCACCCTGAAGTAGAAGCAAAATACGGCAAATCACTATTTCCACGTGTAAGCTACCATTTCCCTAGCATTCCAGGACGACTAAACAATTGCAGATTGTTGAGCGTGCCATGCTTCATCATAGCACTCTGGACAGGCGTCACTGAGCTTGCTAGCCTGAAACATAGATTTCAGAATCATCGATCAACGTAAATGTATCATTAGATACAATAGGAAGGGAGACAGTTGAGCCTTTGCCAACTTCCTAATCTTTTATACACATTGAACCTGTGGTTTAAGATTGATTGAGGTAGCCTATATATTTTAAATTATGATAATTATTACAATAATGTACCATTAAGAAGTGGACAGGTACAGTAGGTTGTCCAGTAACAGTGAGTAGATGTGGTAAAATACTTATTATACATCCATGGATTACTCCCAGTCTGGGTTTTCATTATTTGTGAAAATGGAACTCTGTTCTCACATATTCATTTTGTAATATAATATAGTAATATCAAGGGATATCTCATATGTTCTTTATAAAGGATTCTGTAAAGATGTGGAAATATATAAAAAAGTTGCAATTGTTGAAAATATGCAAATTATTGTACACCACTAAAGTGTAGGAAAACAATTGCCATATTTTTTTTAATATATTCTCCACATACAATTTGCCTTAAATATCTGAATATTTGAAAAACGTATTGTATGCTATAATTCTGGCCATACAGTGTTGAATCATTTAAAAAATATTTACTGTTAGATTGTTTTTGAGATCCTGAACACTACATTTTATACTATGAAAAGTGAAATAAAAGCATTCACTTGATAGCCTACCTCAACATAGGAGGTGATTCTGCTGGTCTGCATTAAAAAAAAGTTGTTGGTAGGCTATCAAGTGAATGCTTTTATTTCACTTTTCATAGTATAAAATGTANCAAACGAACACTTTGTCAAACAGTATTCAAAGTGGGATAGAATCATACAGTGGAGGTATGACTTTGCAGCATTGACAGTTACGAAAGGTCTAATTTGTTTAAAATGTTGCAAGTTATGTTTCTTAAAAGTCAAGTTTGAGTCCAATTTCACTCCAATGTGTATCCACAGTCGGGCTAGGTGAGACCTCAGATGGCGGGAAGAGCTTTGTAATGTCCAGAGCACTATTTATGAAATACAGCCGGGTCTTTTATCAGGGCATCATTGCTTTTTTATTCTAAAACATTATTTTCCTGTTTGGTATGTTTACCTAATAGTTTATTTAAGATTTGCCAAACTTTTTTACCGTTACCTTTCGCACCTTCAATTATATTGATGAAAAAGTTTGCTTTGGCCTGTCTTATTGTTTGTGTTACCTTGTTACGAGCATGAGTGGATTTCTGTATATGAGTGGATAATCCGGATTTCAAGCTCTGCTTTAATAGTTGGTCTCTAGATTGCATTAGATTCCTGCATTGTAGATTCAGCCAGGGAAGATGATCTTCCTTCCTATCCCTAAGGCACCCTCTCCTTGAGAAGGAAGACAATGTATCATTAATTTTAGATATAAACAGATCCCTGTTTTCACCAATATCTTCAGAGGACAGTGTCTCCCAAATCAATCATTTTCACTGCATCCATAAAACGTTGTTGCAGATTTTTGGGGATGAATCGAGAACCCAATGCAGGGGTTTTAGGTGTGGCCATGAACCTTTTTTTTGTGAGTTTCCTGGTAAAAATAATAAGGTTATGGTCAGAAAGACCAGTCAGTAAGTTGTAGGTTTGAACTATTCTGTCAGCTTTGTTAGTAAATAATAAATCTATCATAGTCTTAGAGGTTTTGGTTATTCTAGTCGGTTGATCCATTAGTTGTATTAAGTTGTGTTTATCCGTGATCCGTTTTAAGTTCTTTCTATTTTGTTTGTCATTCCAGTTTATGTTAAAGTCTCCTAAAATGATTAGCTCTTTGTTGGAGTCACAGGAATTCAGCATGAGTTTTACCTGGTCATAGAAATTAATGAGAACATTTTGAGTATGATTGATATTTGGTTGTTCCTTTATTGGTGTTTCAGATTCAGAGGCAGTAAGAAAGAGGAGATTCTGGGGATCTCATACAACCGTATGATTCGTATCGACATGTCCTCTTGTCTGCCTGTCACCACATGGAGGTTCGCCAACATGAAGCAGTGGAATGTGAACTGGGAGATAAGACAGGTGAGCCATGTGATATTACTTCACTTCTCTCTTGTTGTTTCTTGGGGTATTGCCGCTTCACAGTATTACTTCTGAGACATGAATCCTTTGTTTATAATTCCAGGTTACCATAGAGTTCGACCAGAATGTGTCGATAGCCTTCTGCTGTTTGAGCTGTGACTGCAAGGTTGTCCACGAGTTCATCGGCGGCTACATCTTCCTCTCCACAAGATCTAAAGACCAGAACGAGACGCTAGACGAAGAACTGTTCCATAAACTCACCGGAGGCCAAGAATGAGGAGAGATACAAGCCTGTTTCTCTTACCTGTTGTTTATTTACGTGTGGTATAATGTGAAAGTAAAGCATTTATCTCCTGACGCAATGGTTACCCTACTAAACAAACCATTGCAATAGAAAATGTAATACTGTACACTGTAAATGTAACATTTTCACTGACAGAACAACAGTAGCATCATCATTTGTATCATCATACAGTCATAGAAATGTACCCTGCACTAGAAAAATAATGGCGTTGATGTAAATATGTAGTCAAGATTCTCTCAAACCTGTATGCGTTGATATTTGTAAGAATTAAGCTTTTTTTTCCAGGTGAAGAGATTTCCATTTTTCAGACAGAAAAAAACATTTTGTAAACAATCATTAAAGGGTGTGTTTTTGTATTTCACAACTTGTTTCAGTTTTGTTAATTTGCTGCTACACATACAACAACGATTTTAAGGTCATTAAGTCATCTTATTTCATTGTATTGAGTTGTGTTAGTTGAAATTATTATTATTATTATTATTATGGAATGCATTTACAGTTATATCCACACAGCATTAAAAGAGAATTATGAAAATGTCTTCATCAGAAGGATTTAATTAACTATGAGTTATAATGTACTTCCAGAAACACTGCTGGCTTTAGATTCAACATCAAGGAAACTAAATACTGCAAATACTACAGTAACGGCCAGTTTAATACAACGTTAATTCAACTTACAGGTGTGCACTGAGCTCACAATATCACTGTGTAGATGGGACATTTGAAAATGACTTGGGAGTCAAAAAAAGTGACTCAGATTGCATCATTTATTTTAGTTTGACCAAATGTTGTTATTTCTTGCGCAGCGTAGGCTGCTCTCTTGCTCTTGCAGGTGGAGTTGGCACATTGTGTAAACGCAGTTATAAAACACTAGATTGAGGCCCCATGGTGGGAAATTAAACACACCCACCAAAGCAGGGAGACGACATGGTCACAAATCTGCGTTGTTTGCACCCCAACAACTTTTTTTTAATGCAGACCAGCAGAATCACCTCATATGTTGAGGCTTTAATGGAGAGGACAGTCTCCTCTGGTTTCTGACCTAGTGCAGCGTCCAGTGTGTTTTTTGTGGATGAATTCCCCTAAGGGAGGAGGGGCCAGTCCATGTAAACATTTATAAAAAAAAACACATACTTTTAAAAGACTTAAAATGGTCAAAACTCAAGATATTGTGTTTTTCAAGGATGGTAAAGTGGTGGTATGAATTTGGCTTTCTGTCAAAAACCTTGATAGCTCTCTTGTACAGCTTTTCTATAGGTTTCAAGTTTGTGGCACAAGGAA